TAATAATAATGATGATAATGATAATAATAATAATAATAATAATAATAATAATAATAATAATAATAATAATAATAATAATTAAAAAAATAAAAATAAATAATAGCTCGTCCGTCAACGTCTGACAATGACCAGTACATCCGCAGAGGAGAATATTTCTCCTGCGAAATAGAAGAATCAAAGGTTACGATGACTCGTGGCTTGCGCTGTGGCTGATGAGACTAATTCTGGCAGAGAAACGTTTGCCATATTTTGAACATTTAAAGGCTCCACTTCCACCTGTGGATGTGTGCAGCTTGCCAGCTGTTCTCTTGGCTTCAGCATTAACATTTATTTCTTGTTCGTGAAGCCTCATATTATGATTTGCTGCCCTCTGTGACTGCTGCTCTCCTTCGATGTCTCTCAGGAGCTTGACTCTTTCTGGTCGGGAAGTTTGTGTTGAAGTCCTTCACAGACATTTCCATTGTGTCTTTGTTGTGCTTTTTTTGTGCAGCAGCCGGAGACTTCCCTGAGGACAGCTCAGAATAGATCGCTGTCTTTGGGATTCTGAAGTCAGGAATTCTTACGACAGTAGAGAGAGGGAGGGAGGGAGAAGGAGGGAGAGAGGGGGAGGGAGGGAGAAGAGGGGAGACAGAACGGGAGGGGGATAAATAACGTGAGCCGTCGAGAGAGAGAGAGAGAGAGAGAGAGAGAGAGAGAGAGAGAGAGAGAGAGAGAGAGAGAGAGAGAGAGAGAGAGAGAGAGAATGAGAGAATGAGAGAATGAGAGAGACAGGGGAGGGAGATTAAGAGAGATAGAGAAAATGAGAGAGAGAGAGAGAGAGAGAGAGAGAGAGAGAGAGAGAGAGAGAGAGAGAGAGGAAGTGAGAAAGGAATAACATATCGTGATTTAGTTTGGGAAAGAGGTGCTTTGCTTTGTTTGTGTGCTTGATTGGAGGGGTGGGGTGGGAATGGAGGTGGGGAAACTCACAGCGAGGAAAAAAAAAACCAAATGAGAAACGACTCACTCTTCCACGATGTCGTACATCTCCATGCTGACGTCATGGTGCACCAAGGTCCGTGTGTCTAGGTCAATCAGCCGACTCTCCACATGACTCCGCCCACTGGACATACTTCCAGGAGGTCTGCGCCGGTCTGAATCTTCCTCGATTGGAGTGGTCACCTTGTGCAGGGGAGGGTGGAGGGGGGCAATTGCAGCAAATTATAGGCGATTTCCAGGTTGAGAACCAAGGATACAGGGTGCATGGAAGCGAAACCAATAAATTGGAAAAAAGAGGCTAAAACAGCACCTGGACATGGATGGCAGACACCTCTATAAATAAATTACTGATGGTCAGGTCAGGCCAGGTGACCTTGTGGTATAGGATAAATAATAACAATTATAACAATAATAATTCCTGGATACTTGAAGGTGTTATCTCTGATTCATAGGTTGACGTATAATGATCCTCCATCGGTGGCCTAGTGGTTAGGCTACCAGATTCGTAATCGTGAGGTTGCAGGTTCGGGGGTTCGAGCCGCGGGCCCGACGTTGTGTCCTTGGGAAAGGTACTTTACACGAATTTTCCCCACTTCACCCAGGTGGGAATGGGTACCCGGCTATAGACGGTGAAAGATCTTGTCAGTTTGTTAGTGTTAGAGCGCTTAACCAGCTGCTTGCACTGCATGCTTCCTGGGAAGCTGAGAATGTTTCTGAGTGTTCTATGGTTTTCTGGGGTAATGATATAGTGTAAAGCGAGTAGAGCTTGCTTTCGAGTGGGGGCATGCGCTATACAAAAGCTATTTGCGAGGCGTTCTGACAAATTGAGTTACTTTTCGCAATCTACAAAATGGTGATATTGGCCAAAAATCGACACTTGGGTCAAATGTGTAGATTTTATATAGATGCAATATTCTTTAAGTATAACATGCCTTTTGTTTTTTTCATGCTTATAAATTGCAAAAACTTCACCTATAAGCGTGATGTATCTATTTCCAAAGCATTTGAATCTAATAAGTAACTGCTTTTATTATCACGCTGCACATTTATTATTATTATTATTATTACTATTATTATTATTATTATTATTATTATTATTATTATTATTATTATTATTATTATTATTATTATTATTATTATCTTTCACGGTCGCGAGCTGCCGTTGCACATTCTGCCATATCCGACCAGGTCATGTTTTACTAGTATACTGCTGTCCATCCATGTTACGCGTTGTCTTCCCCTGGCTATTCAGCCCCACATCATTCCTTCAAGCACCTCTTTCACAAAGGTCTGGTGTCGTTTTAAGAGACAAAAGTATTTTATTTTCTTACATTTTATCTCATTCTGCAGAGTTTGTCTTGTGTGGAGAATCTGACACGCCTCATTGTTCGGTTGTTGTTTCTTTTTTTGTTCATTTTTTGCTTTCCAACATATTCTGGCCATTCTACGGTAGCATTATTATTATCATTGTCATCATCATTATTATTATTATTATTATTATTATTATTATTATTATTATTATTATTATTATTATTATCATTATCATTATTATTATTATTATCCTTATTATTATTATTATCATCATCATCATCATCGTTATTATTATTATTATTGTTGTTGCTGTTATTATTACATTATTGTTATTATTATTAGTAGTAGTATTATTATTACTAATGTTACGACACCAGTTATTTTAACTAAAAGACATTTATCGAAGCAAAGTGGCATGAAAATGTATATAGACATAGACAAACATAACACTGACAGACAAACAAACAGACTTACAGATGGAGAGACAGAGAGACAGATAGGGAGGTAGAAATACAAACAATCTATCATGTCAGACGGAGAGACAGATAGGTGGGTAGACATACAAATAATCTATCAGATGGAGAGACAGAGAGGCAGACAAATGCAACAGACGTACAGACTGACTTACACAGACAGACAGACAGACAGACAGACAGACAGACAGGTAGACAGACAGACAGACAGACAGACAGACAGACAGACAGACAGACAGACAGACAGACAGACAGACGGACATCTTATAGATAGACATACAGACCGATTTACAGACAGAGTGAGGGGAAAAGACAGAGAGAGACAATCAGACATAATAATAATAATAATAATAATAATAATAATAATAATAATAATAATAACAATAATAATAATAATAATAATAATTATAATAATAATGATAATAATAATAATTGTATTTATATAGCGCATATCCATGCTCAAGAGCATACTCTATGCGCTTTAAAACTATTATTACCCCAGCAGACCCTCTGAGAACACTCCGAAACATTCTCAGCTTCCGCGGAAGCATACAGTGCAAGCTGCGGATTTCACGCGCTCAAACACTATCAAACTGACAAGATCGTTC